CCAGAAAAACATTATATAATTTCATTTTGTTACCGCTCTGCTGTATCTAATCTTTTGTCTGTCAAAATGTCTGAAAGTGGTAACTGCACAGAACTAACTCAGGAAGACACTGTTTTCAGAAGCTGCGGGAAGCTTTCAGTCCATATCCATAAAAAACATAAATTATTCAGTCATAAAGTCATAGTGAATTCCATAAGCCTTTATGCTATTAATGCTAACTACAATTTAAAAAACCACAGCCTCCTGCTGTTGCTCAGTATGAAGGTGAGCAAAGTGAAAACTCTTCAGTTTCTTCTGGATAAGAAAAAAAAGAGATGAAAAAGTTCCATCAAGCACTGGAAGGGAAAACGAACAACTGCTGATTCCTCGGAACTGATTAACAGTGAGATCCTGTTCTGGATGGAACAAGCAGCTAAGGATCTAGTTTATGAAGATCAGGATTATTTTCTTCCTATGTGTAAATTCACCTTCAATATTGTGAAGGTCTTCCTGCAGCTTTCATTTGTGTTAATCTGATAACACAGTCATTGCCAAACTTTATTTGATTTAGCCACCTTTTTTCCAGATCAGGTATATATTGGTGGATTTGAAATACAATTTACCTGAGAAAACTGATCATTTACTCCTCTCAATTCCTTTAACAATTTATTGAATCTAGTTGATGACCTGGTGATCTTATCCCATGGTACCTTAGTTTCTTTAAGAACCTTTCATTATCAGACTTGTTTAATACTTTTGAAAATCAAATGAGATCTGCCTTGTCCATTTGCTTGTTCATTTCTCCAGAGAACTCTTATTTATTTTTGACACATGATTTCCCTTTACAAAACACATGGTGACACTTTAACAATACGTCATATTTATCCATGCATCCACTAATTCTCTTCATTACACTATATTCATCAGTTCTCCTAGTGTAGACACCAGGCTTATCTATGTGAACTTTATTAAAAAGAAGCACTCTATTTTACATTAAGCTGGTACTTAGGTGAAGTCATCCACTTCAGATAGCAATTCAGCTATTTCAACCAGAAGTTTCTTTACAGTATTGGTGTGAATACCATCTAGTTGGTAAGGTACTTTAGAGTGACATTGCAAAGTTTCAGGTAATCACAGATGAGACTGATATTTCAATGCAACAAACATTTTTTTTTAAAAAAATCATGAAATATGTCTCTTCCTTATTCCTAAAGAAACATCACTTTTTTTTTCTCAAAATTACAGCTTACTGTCTGTCCTGAAAAACTTCATTCCTGGTCTAATGTCATTTTAAGGTTTACTTTTCTGGAAGTCCTCCAGATAGGAAACATCTGGTTCATCCCACTGAAAGCTTATGTCTTTACTTCTAGATTTGTCTCATACAAGTTATTAATTTTCAAAAACAGTATATAAAAGTATTTTTTTGACTGTATCAGGTACTGCACATTAATTGAAAACTCTGTGAGTTTTCGTCTTTGCTGATTAGGCTTGTTTTTCCTAATCTATAACTATTTTCAGTTCAACTTTTTTAATAGCATCAATTGTACACTGCAAAATGAACTAGTTGTATGTGAGAGGCAGACTGCTAGAGGTCCTGATCTTGAATCAAGTGTCAAGTGCTTAGGTACTGCATTAACAGAATAGGAAAATGTGCGTTACCCCACAGAACACTCTACCTAATTACATGGAAGAGAAGGAATAGAAAGGGATAATGAGATGATATTCATCCATACAATGAGCAGAGGTCTCAACATACTGGCAGCTTAACTGTTTTTTTTTTCTTTTTCTTAATAGGCAAAGAAAAGTTTTCAGAAGGAATTTGAAGCAAGTCACAAAGTACTGTTTTGCAGATATTTTCAAGGAGTCTTCCTGCTGTGACTGGCTATACAGAGAAATCACAGAGGAATTTATTTGAAAATTTAACAAGTAGACTCTCACAGAATGAGCAGAGTCAGTCTCTAAGAGATCTTTCTTCAAAGAGAAGACGAGCTGGTGTTTAATATGAGACAACAGGAGGAATAAACTGCGAGAACAAAAAATTAGATTTGCTCAAAAAACGGCAAAGCAGGGATATTATTTCAGATAGCTAGGAACAAGGCAGCATTGTATTTTTCTAGGCAAAATGAAAGAAGTTGCCCTAATGAAACTTGGAATTACCCAATACTTATATACAGATACCAAAAACTATATCTTTGAGGCTTTAGACAGAAAGAAACTGTCAGATGTAAGATAAGCCTGAAGAATATGAAAAAAAAATGCAAGAGATCTATAAACTAGAGATGTTGTCTGGCAAGGAATGATCAAACAGAGGTAGAGGTGTAGGTATAGTGTGGCAAAGAGCTCCTTATTATTGACATTGAACTTGAACTGAACTCCAGAAGAACACTGGTTAGAGACAGATCAACGTTTTAGCTTCTGCAGTTGGTGAGTCTGCATTAGAAATAGGAGTGCCCTGTAATAAAAAGTCAACACACTGAAAGTTAAGGATGGAAGCATAGAGGAAAGAAAACTGTATTACTGCATCCCTCTTTTCCGTTATTTTAACCATTAAATGGGGTGATTTCATTATTCAAATTGAAAACAGTAATGCGTTAAACAATTTTTACATTCTTCTTGAAATATCTGTTTGAGCACTTGATTCAGTGGAAGGAATCCATTGACTTAAACACACTTTCAATCATGTTCTGTTCAGTCTTCTCAAATTTGACAAAAGATATGCTTTTGCCTTATAACATTCTCAAAAAGCTTCCTAAACAAAGGCAGGACATAGCTAACACATAGTTTTAGCACTAATTAGTACCTCAGCAGTTAATTAGCATATCAGTTCACCCCAAATTCAGGCACGTTTAGTATTTCCATTTTGGCACATATCCCCACCAAGCAGAGGGAAACAAATATATGAGGCCTTAGAAACACAGGATGTATTATGCTATTTGAAAATGAGAACATAAGACACATATTTATAAACAATCTTGTTTGAAAGTCAGAAAACAGCAAGCTTGTTATGGAGTTAACTGATTTTCACCTCTAAGGTAATGTGTAGTTCCAGTTGCATGCAACTGTTTTCCATGATCAATCAGAATTGGCTGTAACTGCACAAATCATCTACTCCTATTTCATTTCATTCAGAGTATAGAAATTTTTACTTGTTGAAAATGAAGTTTCATATCTTTTCCCCAGTTCTTCCCCTAGGCTAACAGGGCAATAAAGAGTACTCTGGTTCTGTTCACTAGTTTTCATTTTTTTTTATTATCTGAACTATGAAATGTGCAATGGTTGGGTCTTCAGAAGCTAGATTACAATTTATAGTCCAGTTTTCAAAAATATATTGTTTTTTCTTTCTTACAGTAGTAAATTTTACTTCTCAAGAAACTAAGAAATTATTTTAAAACAGTGTTTTCTTGAGGATTTTTTTTCTCACTGTCTAAGAAGCCCATAACTGCAAGTATTTTTCACTGCACAAAATGTGTTTTGTACATAAATTGTTCCATGGCACACAGAGCATGTGCTTCCACAGATAGAACACTGTTTTTACTAAGGCAATAAATACATCTATCTTTATTCCTTTGAGATATTATATATTATACTGCTGGGCACTCTCATTTATATTTCATTAAAATACAAAGTGTAAGATTTTTTTTTTGCAAATAGATAAAATAAACCAGAGGTTTAACGTTGCACATATACAGAAATGAAAGCTCAGTTTCCTACATTTAACAGAGCAGCGCTGCTCAAAATGCATAGCAACAGAATATAGTTAGTAACCCATTAGATATTTTGTCATATATTTCTGGAGCTTAATGAAGCAGTGAAGTAGATTTAAAAGGAATTTAAAAGCCCAATTGTGATATTACTTACTATAACATTGATGTCAGCAATAGTAGAAGAGAATTGGTTCTTCTGCTAATAAGAATTTTGCATCCTTAACCTCTGAAATGTCTGCAGGAGCTGAAGGAACTACCTATGACTTTGTTCCCAACCTCTGCTCTGGTTTCTTGTCCCTCCGAAGGCAGGACAGATAGAGCAGGAGGCACACCCAGGTCTTTGCTGATTCACCACATATTCTAGTTCCTTAGCTCAGATCTTCCTCGATCCACAGTTTTAACCAAGATACCCTCTTCATGGAAGTGACTAATACCCACACACAAGCTCCCTCCTGACAACTCTGTTCTGTGGGTAGTAACCTTCAACAGAGTAGTGCTACCAGGAGCTAGAATATCTACAACTTAAGCACTTGCCACAGTCTTTTGTTGACTATCTCATTCACTTTTTATTTTTTTTTACACTTGTCTCAGGGCTGCAATTTTTCATGACTCAAAAAAGAGCATTTTTTTGTATACACTCAGTTAGCTAGAACACATTTTTAAAGCCCTTTCACTTTTATTCATGAAAAGACTGCCAGCTAAAATCCAAGATATTATTATATGACAGACACCTATTTTTCCATCTCTCACTTAGAAACACCTACAGCTGCTTAACAAGGCAAGATACAAGAGTCTTAGGACAGCAAGCAGGTAACATTTACACATTTGACTATGGCGTTCAGGAAAAGAGAACCTTATGTCTTCTCTGCAAATGAACAGAACTCTGCCTAGACTCCATTGGGATTTTGTCCTGTAATTTTGGCTGTCTGCTTGGATCAATCAAGTTTAACTTGGACTACATGAGAGGATTTAGGTAAGCAGAAATAATTATCTGAAATAAAGTGATTAGGATTCAAGAGTTTATCCCTCTTAGTTTTGCAACAAACTGTACATATTAGAAGAAGAACTTTCTGCTGCCTTTGAAAGAAAGCACTTTCAGCATCAGGTGACTTTCAGAAGGTTTCTGCATCTACTACATTACCAGAATAACATTCTAGAGCATGTCTGGGGTTTGAGAGAACCTTTTCTAGTCCCAATTATTTTAATCCTTCTTAAATTATGACAGAATGCCAAGCTGAAATATTAGTGAGGTGTCATACTTTGGGTGCAGTAGAAATAAATTTAACTTAAAAAATTAACAACAATATACACACTGACCTGTCCAGTAAGAGGTTAGGTGCAAATAAAAGCTTCCCCGGGTGTTCCATGGAGCGCCAAACTAAGCCGATCATCAGTATCTCTAACCAGGCACATTCCAGTAGATGGACCTGATCATGGAGTGTTAAATCCACAAACCCTGAAAGACCAAGTAGGAGACAGAGTAAACACACCTCAGTTTTGCAAGCATAACGAAATTGTTTAAAGAATCAGGCTAAAAACTTTGAGCTGGATAATCCAAAATAAAAAGCAATAAAACAGACATTTGCCCTCTCTGCATCGTCTGCTTGAGTTTGTTTGTTTGTTTGTTTGTTTGTTTGTTTTAATTTAGGTGCAGTGTGGCTCCATCCTACAGCGCAAGCACCACTTTCCAGTGGTGCATCCTGCCTCCAGAACAGGGGCAGACGCAGCACAGCAGCTCCCTTGCCAGGCCTGGGAAGCAGCCACACTGCAGGAAGGAGCAGCAACCTGCTCTACTCCTGGGTTGCCTGGAACAAGATGAAGGCAAAATGGGAAAACAGCTCCTATAAACACAATGATCGCTCTAATCAGCTAATCCCAGAACAGTTTTCTGTTGAAATATAATTTTACCGGCTCTGGAACATTCAGTCTATTGAAAGTGCTGCATCTGGGTTAAAGAGAGGCCAATACATTATTTCAAATAAATCAGCAAGCAAATGCAGATCACAGCACAGTTGGAACTCATTGATGAGTCATTTGATTGTATTTATATTGGATTTGAAGGAAAAAGCTGCCCTCTTCGTGTGTATGTTTAAACAGCACTAAAAAGAATGGATCCAAAATGAGGACATGGTTTACAGCAGTATTTAAAGACAAATGTGAGAATAATCATGGAGGTAGACAAGAGAGCATAATGACACTGTCGTTCCTGTGTTTATGTCATGGAGAAAATTATATAATTGTCTGAATCTTACTTTTTATGAACACTACTTTCAGTGCGAAAACTGAGTGTCCAAAGCCTGAAAGTCTTTGGGACTACATAACACAGGTTATTAGTCCTTAGCATGAAGTATTCTCTAGTTGCATGAACTTGTTAAGAATAAAATATGCAGAAGTTCCCTCAAAACAAAACAAAAAAATATCCTTTTATTATATAGCAGTGGTATGGCTATTATTGATCTTGGTCTCAATTTAATATTTTTTTAAGTTGCAATTAATTCATGTCAGTCTTCACGATAAAAGGTACAGGGTAAACTACCACCAGGGTAAAGGGCGCTGATTTGCTTTTGTGCAATGTTCTCACTAGAATTCAGTTTCAAATAATGAACTTGACATACTCTGGAGTAGTATCAGTGGGCAGGATGGGAGTAAAGCATGTGTTTATAAAGGTAACTGCTGTGCTCTAAAATACATTTTTGAAATAACAAAGAGGAAGAACAAAAAAAGTTCACAGAAACAATAGAAAATATTTCTGTATTGCAAAACAGAGAATTTTTAACGAAAATATTTGAGAGCTAGTCAGTCCACTCATAAAGAATCTCTCAAAAAATAAACAACTCTAATATATCTGAAATAAAGCTCACACTGCAACTTCTAGGAGTGGATTTAAACAGCTGCATTATGTGTTTTTTTTTTTCTGAAAGTGGAGCTATCACCAAAAAAATGGAGTTTTCTTTTTTTCCCCCCATGTATTTTTCCTTTAATATTAAACTCAAACATGATTTTCAGACTTCACACAGACAGAATGATATTTTCCTGAGTCACCAAACAACCTGAAACAATAGAACTGGAACTTAAGCCAACAATGTTGTTAACTTTCAAGCATGTTATCTAATTACCGAATTAAGAAGGGAATGGGCAAAAAAACTCTGCTATTCACATATATGGAGAACAAACAATAATCATTCTGTTTCCTATTAAGTCTGGTCACACTTTCTCAAGACAACACATCACAAGATGGAGTTTTACTCTATGACTGACAAGCACCACACCAGTCCCCTGTGTGGTATCACACAGTCCCTGGGTGGTATTTGACGCTTGCATTCAGGGCATTAGAAGTCAGTTATATTGCCATCATTTCACATGATTGCACACTGTTCTACTGTGGAATGTTTTCTTTGCTGCAGAAAAACTGAGTTTGTTGCAATTGTGCTAATTCACTTTACTGTAAAACTCTGTTCATTCTACAATACACTGGGTGCCCAAACATTTGGCAGTACTGTAAAGACAGAGTCATTTCTCAAGTCTAGATTCAGCATAAATGCAAGAACAACGAAAGCCACGGGTTTATTTTCAAACACTGTGCACATTCAATTACTTCTTACTTCTCAGTGGCCCTTTCCCCCAGAGTTTTGCAAAACATAAGAAATAGAGGAATAACATCAATATGCAGTGAAATGTTGCTACCCTTCCCATGGAGGGCAATGGTTATGTGCTATAGCAGAAACTAACAAATTTCACAGGACTCAAAAAATACTTGACCATCTTTCTTCAATATGCAAAATTTGACCCCTTTCTTCATGTAATTGAATTTAATAGTGTGGCAGTATTTTAAAAGATCAAACGATCTCACAGCCAACATGTGAACATGTGGGTTCTATAACCCACACGTACTGTGGGTTATAGAACAGTTAACACAAGCCTTGATTAATACAGGTTTAAATATAATAATGAAGATCACCTGCAAGTTATAGAAAACCTTATCAAATTAACTCAATGGCGTTTTAGATATATTATAAGTTTAGCTGATGAAAGTATTAGTTTTCATAAGGCAGGATTCTGAGAGTCACTTGATTTGGCAATTCATGGCATTTGATAATAACACTGGAATATAAAAAAGTGAATTAGAATATTTTGGAGGACAGGTCTCAGTATGCAATGGTAAAAGAGTAATGATAATCCCCCTTGAACTGATATGTTTCTAGAGAAATCCCAGACAGCTCACTTCTTCATCTTATATAACATTTTTAAAGATGTTATGGGAGAAGAAAAATCAGGAGACATGTAGGAAACTAATGCAAAATCAGGTTAAAAACAGAAACAACCTTGATCCCTGGCTAAATTCACAATGAAAAACATCAAGACATGCATTTAAAATAATGAATATCTGTCATATATAGAAGATATAACAGCAGTAGCTCTTAAAAGATCTCGGAAATTATGTGGACAAAGCTCTTAGGAGGAAGCTGCATCTATAAAGATAATGTGTTTCTTCATAAAAAATCCATGGAAACTTCAAGTGAGTAAGAAAGTTAAATTTCCTCTGTGTTATCTGAGTCTGGCAGCTACCCTTCAAGAAGGAGGATGTTAAATTGGAGAGTATGATGGAGAAACATCAAAATGACTATAGCCTTAAAAAACATGCTCTCTAGTGAAGAATATCCAGGATTTATTTACTCTTTTTGAAGGCAAATTGGTTGTAGGGATTACATTACTGCAATTTATAACTATCTAAATAAGAAAATGTATTACAATGATTGTGGCAGAACAACACCAAGTCGGATTAGAAATGAAGGGCAAACACTAACCACCAAGAAAGCTATTATCCAAGCAGCATACTATAGTGCCATGAGTTAACCATGATTAGAAATGTTAATCAAGATTTAATTGCTATTTTTAAGACATACTCTTGTCCAAGCAAGTTAATTCAGATTAATGCTACAGGAGGTTAAATTAAATAATGAATTAATCATTAGTTACTTAGAACTTGTTGCATTTTAATGCAGTTAAAATTATGTTTAGATGTGCAATGCATCAGTGTTTTTTAATGCTAGCAAGTTTTGAAAGAAAAAGTATTTTGGGATTCTAAATTTTCAGTTATTGTGCTCTAAGGAAAAGAAAAACTCTCACTTCACTGCTGATAAATTAACTGCATCTTATGACTGCACCTACACTTGATTTCATGTAACAGACTGACCTTATAAGATATCAAAATTTCTGTGTGACTGAAAATCACAAGGATTTGTGATCCTTGTGATGCCTTAGACTACCTTTATGCCATTGCACATCATGCACCTGACAGGAGCGAGGCACTTGTGGTTTAAAAGGCATGGCTAGACCATCTGTATTTCATTTAGCGATTCTAAAAAAAGGTATGTTTGAGTGACTGTTAATATAGAACCCAGTGATTCTTCCAAAAGCTCTTGTATAAACATCTGAACTTCTGAAAAAACAGGACATGCACATATCTCAGGTAAGGGTAGATGGCAATTAAGTTTATGATCTTAGTGTAGAAAACAAAACAGTAATATTTAAAGCAAATTCATTAACCTTTTTAATCTAAATGCTTCTAGCATAAAGCAGCAGCATTTGCCATATCAGTGACAACATGATAGAGCTCGCTCTCTACCAGAAAATAAGATGCCCTAAAGCAGCAGTAGAGCCATGTAGGAAAGACTATGGAAATTCCTACTTCAGCAACAACACTTAATTCTCTAGCAGTGAAGTAAATCTTGGGAATCCAAAATTGTATGACCATCTATATAGATATATAGACATAGAGAGATGCCATATTTTACCAAACAAATATTTTGAAACTAGTAAGTTTGTAACTTAATGACTTTGACCTGGTGAGTAGCTTTGTATTTCATTCAATACAACTTTTTAGTAATAAACATTCTCTTAGACACAATACCCAAGCATTATTACAGACTTCACCCTGCAAACAGAAAATATTTCCTCCACTGTCACCATCATCTGGGGATCATTTAATTGCCATCATTTCACAGCTTCTACTGATACTGTTAGGATGCAGGTATAAAGCATCTATTTCTCAACATATTCTTCTTTCACAAAGTCATAAAGAAATCTTTTTTTTTAATCTGATCCAATTAGAATACCATCTACTTTTTTTTGCCATACTTTGTAATTACTATAATGGTAGCCGAAGTATACATTTTATCTCATTTTTGCAAAAGAACAAGCAACATTGTACCAGGAAGGATGATTCTTGCTCTCCAGCTGCTTTGAAGGAAAATGAAACAAAGCAGTAAAAAGTTTTAAAAGTAGTAACAAAAGCCCATTCAGCATATCGGATGCTTATGGCAAAATAGTTTTCTTAGACTCCAATGATTTACAACTCAGGGACTTCTGTAGCCAGAGATGATCTTTCTGTACTTAATATTCCTTAACCTTTTTCGTCCAAGTTTGTCGAGCTGCTTTTTGAACCCCAGTGGACTT